TGGATTACAACAGCTCAGTGGTTCGAAAGAATGCAAGCGATCCACGAATAATTGATTCAATCAAACTGATTTTTAAATAATCCTTTGTGATAAAAGAACGAAAGAATAAAATAAACAGAGTTTTGCCGAAAGATTTACACTGCTAATCTTTTCTGATTCATAATTGCGGAAAATTCTATAAATATTTCAGTTTTAAAAGAAATTATTAGAGAAACTTATTCAAGTATTATTGATTTTTCCAATAAATATTGCTCACAAAAAAAATGTATTTCTGAAATCTAACAGAGAGAAAATGAAAGACGTGTATTTATCGCAGTGTGCAAACAATTTTACTTCATGATGCGATCAGCAGAAAAAGTAATTCAGATTGGTATCATAAGAATGACAAAGTTAAGATGCTGAAGTGAGCAACACACTTCAAATCAAACATTTGTGTAATTATTTCGGCTTGAAAATAAACTGAATCCTTCGCTGATTCGCTACGCAATATCCATCCACCACTACGTTCGTATTTGCAAAGTCTGTCATATTTGACTTATTTAATTTGTTAAAGAATGCTTTGATTAGATTATCTCACGTAAGAGTATATTCCATGAAATAAAACTCATAATTAACTACGAAAAATTTACTCAGTTTGGACTTACAATGCGATAATAAAAATGAAATTAGCATAATATTATAATTTTTTCTCAATAATCAAAAGTTATGCAAGAGAATCATTTTTAAGAGTGAAATTTGTATCAAAAATATTCATTTAGAATTTTTAAGCAGTTAGACAGGTCTACTTTGCATGAAGAGGGAATCGCAGATAAAAATGAATACAGAATACGAGACTGACATGAAAACAGTACGTGGAGAAGTTAATTCCCATTTTATAATTTGTTATTCTTTTTGTAATTTTCAATTTTTCTCAATTTTTGTTATTACTATGAATTCTGTTAATCTCTTGCTTTATCTTGATTATAATTATTAAAATTTTTATTCTTTTCGCTTACGTTTTGACGTTTACGAACTAACTTTTATCGCTTTAAAACGTAAAAAGATGCGATTTGATATAATATTTTTCAAAAATAAAGCTAAGTAGCCTTATTTTTTGTATTACTCTGACAAATATTAATTCAATATTTAGTATGACTATTTATTATTCAGATACAAAGCAATAAAAGTATTAAATATTTTTTCAAAAAAAAAGTTGCATGAAAAATTTACAAAACTGTTATGCTTTTTTGATTTTTTATTTTTTCCCGATTTTTATATTATTTTAATTTCTTTCATTTAATTTTTTTCTGAATTTTCCATGCAGCTAATTTTTTATTTTGTTAATGTTGTTTAGATTTTCAAGTTACATTTTTTTTTCATAACAAGCGTTATAGTGATGAAAATTTTCTGTGAATTTTATTAACAATAAAAAAATTTTTAATCTTTTTGCATTTGGAATTTGAAATAGCTTTTAATTAATTGTACACTTAGCAGTACCTCACGTAATCGTGTAATTTTTTTAATAATTTGCACAGTACTCGTTATTACCAATTAATTACTATGGACATGAAATTCATAAGATTTCTTACTGAAGGGTGAAAATGTTGGTTATGTTTATACGAGTGCTAAAGGTTATTTACGAGATAAACCAAAATTTCAACGTACTCGTCGAGAATACGCTTATTTTCCGTACTACGAATGCATCAATAAAGATGCAGCAATTTGGTTACAACAAATTAAAGCAGGCTTAGCTACCTCTACTTTATGTTACGCTGCAGATTCAGGAATTTCATTTTGGATGAATCAATTGAGCCAGTTAGTTTTTTTGATCTTCTGTTCGATTCTTAGAGCAGAATCACACTTATTCATACATTAGTACAGTAATTTTAAGCAATGTATTTCCAGATATTTAAATCGGTTTTATTTCCGATTTTCTAAAGAAGATCATATAAAGTTCATTGAATTCACGTATAATCTTATACTGGAACCAGATTACGATCGACGACTTATTTACAAAGCTTGTACACTGCTCAAAGCACTGATTAAGTAAGTTTACAAAATAATTTTGTGCTGTTTTTTAGCAAGCGAAACTTAATTACAGAATATGAAATCAAATTTTATATCGATAAATTGTTCAAATAAATATCATTGCATACGCATCGATTATTATTAAATACTTAAAAATAAATTCAAACATAAAATTTTCTTGAAATAATAAAGAATGCAAATAAAAATGAGGAAAATGCAAATATCTTTGAATTTTTTATGATAATTAACATAATTTAATTATCATTTACAGTGACGAAATGATTAAGCGAAGTGATTTAACTTTGCCTTGGCGTCCACTGTATGATTTGTACATTGAAGTGTTTTATAAACGAAATGATAAGCATATTGATAAGTCCGGTTTACGATATGCTGTTCTAGCTGCTAAAGAAATGTTTCCATTATCAGCAACAAAAGAAATTCTGGACGAAGTTTGTTTTATCTTTTGAAATTTTAAAATAATAAATTAAATCTCATTCAAAAAAAAGGAAAAAAACTTTAATAATAAAAAATATTTTAAAAAAAGGAAAAAAACTTTAATAATAATAAAAAATATTAAAAAAGAGATTTATAGATTCGACCATTTATCGATGTTTGGAACAATTATGCTATGGAAAAATTTGTTACTTTATTCTCAGTTTTTATACCGTTAAAAATGACAAGTGAAGAGCATGCCAAATATGGTGCTGGGCTTTGGTTTGATGAAATGTGGCATTTTTACAACTTTGTTGAAATGAATAGTTCTTGGGAAAGTCGCATACAAAACGTTTTCTCAGCGTACAGTATTTTATGTATTTGTACAAATAATTTATGCTTCATCAATAGCATTTTTGCTTCATATAAATATCTAAAAATCTGTAAAGAAATAAACCAAAATAAAATCACTGCTAAAAGTTGCAAAAAATATTTAACGGAATTGCGCAGCAGATTTATTCACTGTATAAACAATCACCTATGAATTTATTTTAAACGTGGAATTTAAGTGTTATCATTTTTTAATATGGAGCATAACTGTCATAATAATTCACAACTTTTGTAAATGTAAAAACTGAAGTAATTTACTTTTGGATATCCTTGAGATTTATAGTATTTTACAACTAAGTTTTCAAAAAATACTTTAATACTTTTATAAATGCAATGATTTCTAACATGTGCATATGAGAATATTCACCCTAATTATGGTTTTAAAAAAAAG